TACCACAAATCAATTTCTCTGTCCCTCACACACACACAGTGTATTTCACATTTATGATCTCAGATACAGATGTACATACTGACGTACACTCCAGAACAAGTTCATCATTTTGGAGTCATTCAAACACAGCTGGCATCTGGTTCCTTTGATCCTGATCTTCTGCCCTGGCTCTGGTAAAAAGGCTGGCACAGAGCAAAATATTGAAAGAGTGCCTTTGTGATCATTGTGGGAATAGAAGGTAGGAAAGCTGGCAGGAGACTTTCCAGAGTCAACAGGCAGCTAGCAAGAGCCAGAAAGTGGCAACAGGGTTGTTATCTCATGAAGCCACCTTCTTTGTGCTGCATCGCTGCAGGCGCTGCTGGGGATTTAGCTAGGCACACTGAGTTAAACTGGCCTGGGAAGAAACAAATGCATCTCTGTCCTACCTTGATAGGAAAAACGCATGGGGAATATATTCAAGGGCAAGGACTGAATGGAGAAATGTGGTTTCCAAGCTACTCCCCTTCCTTAAATTATGGGAGTCTAGAAAGCCCATTTTAGATGCTATTAACCGTTTTTTCAGGATTCTGGGGATGTAGGGGTGACTTGTGTGATTCCACATGCAGAGGAGAAAAAACATCTGTCCTTGGTGTAATTACGGCATTGCATTTTTAATATATGCTTGATTTTATGCTATGTGCAATTGTCCCCAAATCAAATCTTCTTTGTTTAAGACTGTGTGTTTTGGAGCTGGGACAGTCTAAAGGTCTTTTCAACTCAGTAGCCTTATTTACTTGGTATGATGCTACTGGGGTGTATGCACACATGTGCATGCTTGTGCATATTTATCAATCTTATTTTTAAGGAGCGTAAGATGAAAGGACAAAGAACTCCTGGGTGAAAGAACATAAAAGAAACTATAGATTTTGCATCAGTTCCAGGTATGCCTGCATTAGTGTGTACCATGCATCTCTATCCACCTAGAAATAAAATATGCAATGGATGGCAGTGTCTCTACATCAAGCCTGGATGTGACATTTGAATAGCCAACTGGGAACTGTAGAAGTAGTAATGCAGTGAAGCCAAGGCTCACAGAGTGGAAGCACCGGGGCTTATTCAATAGCGGGAAGTATGATATCATCATTACTAGCCTGTAAAGCAAGTCAGTATTATGATTCCCTTATTGCAGATCGAGACTGAGAGAGTGTGGCTTGTAGGATGGTCAGATGAATAACTTCATTTGGGATAAGTCAGTATTACCCCAAACAGTGCTCTCTTTTCTTGGTCATCATGTACATTTAGGGAAGGGGATTTCAAAGTGGAAATCCAGGAAACTGCTGTGTGTGGGAAGTGTGGCTGTGTGTGGGAAGAAGCAAGGACATTTCCTTAATGACATCCTGCTGGTGTGTGTGTGTGTGGGGGGGGGGGAGATCCTGGCAGCCAACACTGCATTCCACTTTGCCCACTTAAGAGAAAAATAGGGAACAGGGAGAGAAAAAGCTGCAGCTCCACACCTAATGCACACTCAGAAGTAAAATAATAGCAGCAGTGGAAAGAGGAGGAAGAAAGGCACCCAGTGCTAGCAGCTGCAGGGGAGCCACAACAGCTGAAGGGGGCGATAACAAAGGGACTACCAGAGGGAAGCAGAACAGGAGAGAAAAGGAGCTGACTTGAGTTGATCTGCAGATGTGGTGTAAATTAACTGAAGAACGTATCTGAAGTGATTTGGAAGGGAAACGTCTATGAAATTAATTTCTAGTAATTATTTCTAAAAGTGCAGAGTCTATGCAGCAGTCTGTCCTCTTTGTCTGAAGGTGGATGTCCCCTTTGCTGTCAATGCATAAATGTCCACCACAATGTCTTACATAAGCCTGCCTAGTGGCACAGACAAGATGCAGGCTGGAGACATCCAGACCTGGAGCTGAGTCTCATTCACATGATGCTGCACCAAATAAAGATCACAGTTGACATGGAGATTCATTTCAGAGAAGATGACCTTCTAGATATCGTTGTCTGAGGTCATTTAGGACGTTACCATCTAGAGTCAGTGCTTCTATCTGGAAACAAGCTGTAAGCCAATGAAAGTCTTTGATCATAAGTCAATGTGCATCCCAGTTTAAGCCTGGCTGTTATGTAGGGAACCAGCTGAAGTCCAAATGATTTCCAGAGGCCCTCCTATGCAGCTTAACTGCCACAAGTTCCCACTCACTCTTCAAGGATAGTCCCCTGTAAAATGCATTACAGCAGTTTAAGCATAATGTAACTAAGGAATGGATCACTGATGCCCAGTTAAAATGACTCAAGAATGGTCTCAACTACCACCTAAATGCAGCTATGCAAATATGTTCTTGCCCCCACTATCGCTTGAAGATCCAAGAACAGTGTGGGATCTAAGAGCACTTGGTCCCAAGCTATGAATCTGCTTCTTCATAGGGATCATGACTCCATCCAGAATATGTTAAATCTTAACCTCCCACTCAAGCATTCTGCTGTCCAATAGCACCTCTTTCTTCTCTGGATTTAATCACCTTGTTCATCTTCATCTGGTTCAGCAGTGAACTTAAGCAACAGCAACTCAAGTAACAAAGAGCAGTAGAGCTGAGCGTTATTGGTGTATTGAGATCATCTTTCACCAAAGTTCCAGCATTTTCATATACAGATTAAAAATTCATAGAAGGCAAATCAAAACATCATAGGCCAACTCTTTACGGTACCAAACCAAAACCATCTTCTGGACATGGTCTGTCAGAGAGGACTAGAACTACTTTCTTGTTACATTTGGCATCATCATCTTGCTGTATCCTTATGCCCAAACTGTATGAACATGTGATGTGGAGGGAAGAAGGAAATAGCAGGTGTAGAATGATGAAAATGCATATCCTGAGGCAAATTTTAGGGTAGCCATTGAAAGAGAGAGGATGAAGGAAAAGAAAAATTGGGGAAAAGGTGAAATCAATGAAATAAACCCTTCTTATGCTAAAGCTGGTTCGGGGGGGGGGGGGGGTGATCTGCCTGCCTGCTGAGGCCTACAAAGCCATGGGATGGCTCTCCTATTCCCCACCATAGCCAAAGTGGCTTTACCAATAGGCATTCATCTGACTGAGAGTGAAATGTTCACACAGCATGAAAACAAGTGCCGCTAAAATAATTACAGGTTGCAAGGAATCAATCAGAGCTGTGTAAATAGCCTTCAGGAAGGCATCAGACACACTTGTCTTCAGCTTCACGTGGACAGAGCAGCACAGACTTCCCTCACTCCCTCCAGAGTTCTAAGCCCTGCATAGACAAGAGCAGCTCAGAGGCTTGGAGGTGGCACTGTAGAGCTAGCATGCACCACTGATGCACAGGACTTTTTGCCCCCCTCCTACCCCTGCTCTGTATTACCTCAAGCTGCAGTGCAGAACCCAGGAAGTGCCCAAATTTAAATAGCCCAGAAGAGTGGCCAATTTGGACCTGGTTGCTTCAAGGATCCATTAGATCAGCTTGCCCCAGGCTCACGCCCTCCACATGTTCTGGACTACAGAGCCCAGCATCCCCCAGCCAGCTATGCTAATCTTATCTAATGCATATAGAATGCCCATGAAAAGGAACTCATTCCTGCTTTCAGTGTCTGCAGCAATTTTGGAGTGGCTTTTAAGGATACACTTGGCATTTTAGTATATGGAAGGCTGAGCTTTTCCACATGTATCTTTATAAGCACTTTTACAGTCCTCTGAAAACAAAGTGAAAGAAACGGTTCATTGCAATTTCACAGAAATGTCCTGCCATTCGATGCACATTCAGACTAAGGTCTGAATGCACCTGTCCTCTGTTGAAAGGTTGTCAGAAGACAGCCCTTCATTTGAAGGGCCATCCAGTCCAATTCCATTTGGAAGATGGATGGATGGATGGATGGGAATGCTCTCGGAAGCCTTCAACTTTACCTTCCACATTTAGCACCGGAGCATCACACTCAGCAGGCACATGGGCCACCTGGTCATGGTGGCATGTATTATAATTATCTTTAAATAAAATAATGTATATGCCAGTTTTAGGCAAATCACCTTCTCTTTTGTCTTTTTTGAGTGAAAGGGCAATCTGTAAGTGGCCACCTCCTCAAAAAAATGCATTTATCTTTCTAGAGATGATGACTCTTATAGAACGGGCATGAATCATCTCCAGGTTCTGTATCTATATATTTTTTTTTTTTTTTGGTCTGAAAATTTTCCAAGCAGTCAATAGGAATGAGAACGTAAGTAAAGCCATGCTGGATCAGACCAAGGCTGCATGCAGTCCAGCATTCTGTCTGCAAGCACAACAGCTCCCTCCTGCCAAGCTCTCCAGGAGCTGGTGAGCACAGGCGGCTGCCTAGCAGACAGCTATTAAGACTAGTAGCCATTGACAACTATTCTTTCTTCTTCCCTCAAGAAAGAAATGCTCTCCATCTGTTTGTATAGACCCCATTGTGTGAATTGCAAGTGATTATCAGAAGCAGAGCTGTGCTTGTGGCCCAGATGTACTTCTGGCCCCACCCCCAGACATCCATGGGTCTCTGAGCTGGTGTCGACGGCATACAGAGAAGAAGTTGACCTCCTCTCCCCCTGTTCCCCCCAAAATCCCTGCTTATGAGCACCTGCTCAAGCATCCACACCAAATTAATGTGTGGGCATCCAAGAAATGTTCTAATGCCATGCAAGATAATGGGATGGGGGGAGCAGCACAGCCCCACTGCTCCTTCTCTGTGTATAGGTCTTGTGTATGGAGAATCCCTGAACACGGCTATGGTTTACAAGGTCAAACAAAACCTGGGAATGGTAATCAGATCTGACCCTGGCCAATCATGCCCTAATAACTTCAGAGCTCTCCCTATATGAAGCTGACCTTGAAAAGCATCTAGAAACATCATCTGGCATAAAATGCTGCCACCAGGTCTCTGCAAGGACCTCTTCCGGATGAAGTTCAGGATACTGATTTTTACTCGTAAAAGCTCTAAATGGCTCATTACCCTAATTACCTCTTTCTCCTGTCTTATTCCCTCCTAGAAGCTCTATTGAACATCTGAAATCCTGCTCCTTGCACCCTTACTTTCTGGGTATGTATTTTCTGTTCTTCTGCCATGTGTCTTTGATTTAACTTAATGATTAATGTGAACTGCTTAGAGTCACTTGTAAGATGAAGCAAGCAAGCAAGCAAGCAAGGAAGGAAGGAAGGAAGGAAGGAAGGAAGGTGAGGGACACTTACTTGATCTACAGAAAAAGTCAACCACATGCAAGACTAAATGGTGTAAGGAGATTGTATGTGATTTCTGTAACATGGCAGGATGAGAAACATGGATGCAGAGAAAGCAGAAAACACAGGGGCTACATGGGAACACAGGGAGCTATGCAACCTGTAGTCCTCAATTCAGACCTGTGGCAAGAATGACCTGTCCCTCCCCTGGCAACCTGGTGGTCAGAAAGGAGGAGGAGGAGGAGGAGGAGGAGGAGGAGAGAGAGAGAACAAAGTGTCACAAGGAAATAATGAGAAAAGGAGGTATACAGTGGCACAAAGAAAGAGACAGAAAAGGGGTAGTCTACAAACTTTTAGTTCTGGCCATGCTCTGTCCAGCACTGGCAAATAGCTCCTGACAGATGACCTCAGAGTGAACCCAGACATTAGCAGGGGATCTTTGGCTGGCTGATTGCTCCCTCTCTTAGCTTCCATTGTGGGATCATTTAGGGAGGCACGTCTTCTCTTGTCCAGATTATGAACCAAACTGGAGGATCTTTCTTTCCATTGTGCTGGCTGGCTGGTGGTGGGGCTGAGATAGCACCTAGTTTGGAATGCTACAGTCAAGTACTTTGATCATATGGCAACAAGCCCTCCCCACCCCCCGCCGCCCCAATTTACATAGCATCTCGATGTATAATCTCTGCTATGCTACATCCCTTAAAAGGGACCTTATGTCTCCAGCTAGATGCTGTCCAAGAGAGAACTGGAACTGTCCAGGACTTTAGGACAGACACTCCATCATACATTCACAAGCTTCTCTTAGCCTGGACCGCTGTTAGATATTCAGGCAGCTAATTCAGAGAGACACACTCTGAGAAGCGAGAGGGCAGAATCATTGTAGTACTGAAAATTTCATGGCTTGCAAGCCTCATTACAAAACACTTTCAGGGAACAAGACAGAAACAATTTTCCAAGATGTTTCCTTTGCATTCACAAAACCAGATGAATAACAGCTCTGCACATTGTTCCTTCAGCCACGCTGCAACCCAGCTAAGCCACTATGCCAAACTCTGTTACCCCTTCTAATGTTTTAGCTGATGCAGGCTCTGGTTCCTATGTCCTGAGTTTTCCAACAGGGAATTCAAGTATATTTCAAAAGAAATAGGGAAATGGTGAGCCTATGTTCTACTTGATAGATAGCTGACCTCTGTTTGAAGGCATCTTCTGCTTGAAGGATTGACCTATATAAGTCTGGCTTTAAGATAAAGAGCCACTAGAAAGGAAAGCTTAAGTTGCCCATCCATAGGCAACACCAGGACAGTGACTGAGCAGGCAAATAACTCACCCCATCATTCCAAAGAAATCAGGCAGAATTGCCAACCATTTTTTAAAGATTTACAAGAAAGGATTTAGGCAAAATTGCAATTGTTGATGCACGCTGGCTCCAATCCACTCTTTCACTAATGTGTATTAGAACAAGGACAAATTAGTGTTGATGTGCATTAGTGAGAGTGGAACAAAATCCTTGTACATCACTATAAAAATCAGAGACTATCAATAAGCAGATGATCCAGTGAATGATGGTTAGGCAAGACATGAAGCCCAGATGGAACAGATTTATCAAAACCTGCTTATTGCTCAGTCTTTATCACTATGGTGAAACTCTTTTTTAAATTTAAATTCTAGCAATTATTTCTCACTATGACTTCATATATATAAATTAGTACATGCATATTTTATACATTTTTATGCAGTCTCATTTGCCCTCTTTTTTGGCAATGCATTTCTTCTTTTTATCAATGTGTTCAGAGGCCACCCTAATCAGAAATATTGTCCAAGTTATATTTTCCCATGGGATTAACCATAGCAGACATAGAATAATGGCTCTAACAGAGACTATATAGTTCAATCACTTATTACAACAGGTTTCTCAAGATTTATTTTTCTCCTGTGTGAAGACCTTGATGATTGTGTAGTGATATATGTGTTCCCTCAGAACAGTTTTTCCCCCTCTACCTGTGATTATTTCTTCTTAAAACATAAAGTCCCAGTTGGCTTCAGACTGTCTTGATTGTGGCAGAGCTTTTGATTTTGCTGCTGATTCCTGTTATGTGGCAAGTCAGTACTTGTACTAATACACCTAAGAACCATGTCACAGGAGTGTACCCTGGTGTGCCCAGAAGATTATAGAGGGGTAAATAATTCTACAGAAGTTACCTGCCTACAGTCTTTTAAAATTCTGCCTCTCCTTTCCTTAGTCTTTTCTACATACGTTGTTTATTCATCAGTTTGTTAGAGCTAATGGCCTGCCTTTCCACTGAGATGTGCAGCAAAACATCTGACAAAATCATCTTTGCACAAAACACAACAGGCTTTCAGTACAAAACCCTAGCAAACAATGGAATCGTTTATAAAGCTGGGATCCTATGGTGTCACTCACAATACTACGCTATCAGTGTTGTGTTACCATAAACCAACATTAGTGCAACAAAAACAGTACTTACCAGTTCAACAGGAAAAGGTGGGAATTTGTCCCTGAATTTCAGCAGCAAATCCCCACTTCTTCCCTTTGCACCAGCAAGTGCTAATGATGTTGCCCTGGTCTTGGTTTATTCTAGCACAACCTCACTAGCACTAGTGCGGCTACAGTGTGGGATCCTGCCCATGGAAGGCAATTTTTGGGACAGAAACAGGGAAAGCTGGATTTGGCTCCTCCCTGGTCATCTTTCTGATGCAGCAGCAGTAATGAACAAGAGAGGGCTGTTTCTTAGCCCCTCTCTAGCACTTCAGGGAGTAAGTAAGCTGCCGTAACAGAAAGCAGTGGTGACAATGGAAGGCAAGAAAGTAGTGCAGCAGATTTTGTTTTCATTTGACACTCTAGATTGTGATTTTGTTTGTACTGACCTCACTATCATCAAATGTTTGCATTTAAGATATAAGAGGAAAGTGTCTGACAGTCCTAGATGGATCTCAGTAGTTATTCTGATAATCAATGGATTCTTCTTTCTCAGTCATCAAGCTTAACAAACATCCCCAAATGTTCTGGAAGGTGAGATAGTAGTGGTGGTACAACCTCTATGGAATATTCACAGAAGTTCTCAGAGGCCATGTTATTGCTTCAGAAAAGTCACAAAAACATGACTATTCTCTCAAGTGTTTTAATCTAATTCGATTAGTTGGATGGTGTCTACATTAGTTTTTCTTACAACTACTCCTTAAATGAATTGAATCCAGATTTGTGTGCATTAACTATAGAGTCTGAAGTGGATTTCCTACCGCTTCCTACAGGAACCCTTCCAGAGTCCTGAAAATATTATACAGATGGCCATTGTGGTGGATCCACAATATATTGTGCTGGACCCAGAATCTGCTGAATTGACTACAGCATGTGCAGGGGATGGAGGGACCTTCTGATAGTGGAACCCTCCTCTCAGAAGAGCTCTGACTCTTGAGGAAAGCAGATTCTGGATGCAGCACAATATGGACTATATTGAACTTTTAAAAGCTCTGATTTTATTGTACATTGTCTTGTACAGAGTGTTCAGAAACAGAAAGGAAATTAGCATTATTCAGGCAGAAAATAAATAAATGCATACATTAAAATTCAGCAAAATGACTTCAATGATTGACACTGTTTGTTTAAGCAGAGACAGTGTGGCCCTGTTTGAAAGTGCTGCTAGTTAGTAAGACTTAAAATCAGATATGGGTGAACTATCATCAGGTCAAATCATAAGTGGACTACTACATCCTCTAGGTGTTTTTATTGTTTAAGATCGCTTATATTCTTTGCCAGTATAATTTTGGTGGATGCTGTTGGGAAACTGAATTGAATGGATGAGCAGACAAAAGCACATTGGGTAGGAAGCTGCAGTGTGCTCCGCTTCATTGTGCATCATGATGCCGGGTTCCTGATAGGCTGCGAGAACTTGGAGGAAGAGGAGGCATCAGAAGCTGTGGCGATGACATTCGTGAAGGAGGGGAGGATTGGCATGGCATCACTGGCCACCGATTGCATGCCATGTAGTGTGTAGGTTCTGGCGCATGTGACAGGGACGCCTATTTTCCATACCACGAGTTCCTGCAATTCCAGGAGAGAGCAGCAGGAGTTCACAAAGTTTGGATGGGGAAAATACACACACACACACGCAATGTCAATAAGAAGATGGCTCAAAAGTAGAAGGTAGGGCAGTTTGAAGCATAATGAGTTAAAGTAATCAAGTAATCAAGTTGTGCTAATAACAGAACATATTAGACATGCTAGCCTGGTTTATTTTATTTATTTATTTGATTTATATCCCACCTTTTCTCTATTTTTAAAGAACTCAGAGCGGCTTAACTCCTCCAGCTCCCAGTCTTATCCCCACAATAAGAACCCTGTGATTTAGGTTGGGCTGAGAGTCTGTGACTGGCCCAAAGTCACCCGGTTGGCCCCATGGCTGAGAGGGGACTTGAACCCAGGGTGTCTGAGTCTCCAACCCACACTCTTAACTGCTACACTACACTGGTTTAATGAATCTCGCCCATGAAGGCACAACATTGGTACACAAGCCTGAAATACTTCTCATTATTAATTATGAAAAGAAGAAATATCACAAATTAAAGCTACCTGATTTATAATACAATCAAGTATTGCAATCAGAGAACATTCTTATTATGAGACTATTGTTTGCAAACCTTTTCAGCAGCAGAATTTCACCTGCATCTGTCCTGAACACATCTGGATTTTAATCTCTCTCATTTTATTTATTTATTTATTTATTTATTTATTTATTTATTTATTTGGGGTTTTTGTATGCTGTCCCATTCGCATAAGCCTTGGGACGGCTTCCAACCCAATAAATAAACAGGCATATAAATGATACATATATATATATTGATTTA